AATGGAACCAAACGAGCCGCTCGTCGGTTTCCATTTGCATGTTTCCAAGCGATACAAGGCCTTGTCTATATAAAGACTCAAACTCACTGCAGATCCAGACATTAGATTGAGAAAACTTCCTGGAGGGGAAGCCAAACGTCTTCAAACCTTGGAAACCAAGTCCAGTGGATTGTTTTTTTTTTTTTTACAGAAAGATCTTAAGAGAAGCTTAATCTCCTGATCAGACCCTGTAATTCAGTTGGAGTCAGAGTAATAATTATAATTAAAGTAATATTTTCTGGTTACTCTTTATTTCGTCAGATAAAAAAGTGACATTGTATTACTTATTTCTTGATTACCACTGAAATAAACCCGCTCCCAATATATTACAGGTTTTACCATTTATTTGTGACCGCGTAAAAGTCAATAATAATCAGTATATTGTCAAAGGTTGTGCTTTTGGTGCGGTTTGGCATTGATCATGTCAGATTTCCCACCAGAAGGTGCCTGAAGGCTTCAGCTAGGCTGGACCAATCAGCTGCAGGTGGGCTGGATCATCAGCCTCACAGCCAGAGCACTAGAGGATTAGCAGGTCGTTCTTTGGCTGAATGTGACTATATGGTAACATTTAGCCTTCCTGAGCCTCTGAAGTATCTTTCCATGTCCATTCAGGTCATTCCTCTGAGAGCCTCTCTGCTGATTACCTTCCCAGGTTCTCAGAGTTCATCACATGCCTACAGGGAAGTCAAGATTCCAGAAAGGTATTTTCTGTTTAAAAGAAAACAGAATCAAACTGAGGAGGAACCCAAGAGATGATGAACAGGTCCTACCTGTTAGAAGGTTTTTATTCTTCATCTTCACCTGCTGACAGAAGATTTCACCTAAATAGATAATTGATGCTACCATTCAAGAAATAAACCTGAAAAAAACATTTTTCCTTAACAAAATAGCGATTTCAAACTAAATGACATTCTCAACATCTAGAATAAACATTCTGGGTGTCTAGAAATTAATCTCAGATCTCTGTATTACAATTGCTGGTCAGCATTTGTATTGTTTTGAGTATGAAGAAAGATCAGAGATTAATTTCAGAGATCATGAATACTTATATTCAATCAGGTCAATTTAATGCAATGCAGTTTATTTATATACTGCAACTCACAATACACATCATCTCCGGTCACTTTAAAGTTGCAGGGAATTGATTTTTAAAGGCACACTATGCAACATTTTTCAGTTAATTAATGTGTTCCATAACGTTATGGATGATTAAATGAGTAATTTCAGGTCGAACAAAGGTTTTCTCGGCCGCCCTGGTGGTCTGTGGGGGAAATACCGTACTTGCAATTGCAGGAGCCCTCGGTCCGCACCCACAGGCTCAGAAGTCTCGTGCATCGCGAGAGTCGGTCTTGCTCTACAGCGAGAACTGCTACACGCCCCCAGTGAAAGGCATGCTCGTTGCTAGCACAGTGGCGATATTTGTGCAGTTATCATGGCGGAACCAGCGAGAATTTTCTAACTCGAAAATTGGAACAAAATAGTCACAAAATAGTCAAAATAGACATGGTGATTCGTTGTGTTTGCCTGTCTGCTAAGCTCAAAACAACCGCGCCTGGCTTGACGGAGAAACCACGAGAACAGCTGAGCATATTTACAACAGTGCACTTTTACTTTCGCCCTTTAAATGTCAAATCATTCTGGCTTAAACATGTATATAACTGTACTTTTATTGTCCATATTGTCTTAAAATCTTTGGGGTTATTTTCGTTATCTTATGCAGGCCAGTTAGTGATACGTCAGCTTGTACCAACATCGATGTTTTCGCTCTGGTTGAAACGGCGTCTCACTCTTTGCTAAAACATTTCCATGACACAGATGAAGAAGTGACACCGTGTTCAGAACCAAATACAGTTTTCATTTCGTCTTTCATAATGGTTGATGTTTTTCTCTATTTCCCTTTTCCACGTTATTTACTGATCATTGCTTCTCTGCTGAGAGAAAATGGCTGAATGTAGCATGATGGCAGGTTCCTTTCAGGCCAGTTTAACCTGCATTATTCTGGCTTCACCTTCAGACTCATCACATCAGCAGATACGCTGTTATTTATTTGCAGTTAACACTTTTTTAGCTTTTATCTCATTTAGCAAATAGTTTTAATTTGAAGCTATAATTATATAGTCAATTACTCACATGGATAAAATAGTTGATAACTCTTAATTAATTAAAGGAAAAATCCAGTTTTTTTTATCATTTTATGGAAACATGGCTGAAAAATCAATGTCTGACTGTAGAAAGAATATTTTACCAGAGGATTCATTCCTCAGCCGAACCTTTAGTTTGTTCTTTATGGAAACATTTCATCACTTCTCAGGAGAAACTCCTTTTAGGGAAGAACATTTTCCCATCCAGGATAATCAGAGACACTGGTCACCTTTGGGGGCTTTAAGGACATTTTCACTAAAAACTTTTAGTTTAATGACCTGTGCTGTGAGGTTGGAGTTGGCATTTATGTGAGGCTAGAGTTTAACCAAGAGGCGAGGCGTGACGTTCAAATAAGGAAGTTGAAATTAGATTAGAAGGATTTAAACGAAGGGGATGGAAAACCATCAGCACTTCAAGATGAACAACTATCTTAGTTTTTGCTCCTTGATCTTCTTCTGTGAGTCTTTTTTTTATTTTAATACCAAAAATTATGTTTTATGTTTATTATAGATTCAGAAATATCATTGAGAAGAATGTAGAGTAAGGATTTTATTGGAAACTTATATTAAGAATCTTTTTAAAATCAAAAGTCAGAACATTTACTTTACATCCATAGATTATTGTTGAGATGTAACAAAATAAAAGCCAAATATCACGTTAAAGATATTCCTAACCTTTGATTTAATCTCATACCTGCTTTGCTGATGATAATCAGCTCTTTTTATCTTTATCTGGAAGCGTCTCTCTGACATGCTGTATAATGTTGTTCAGTTTTTACCAGCAGATCAGTGATGTATTGATAACTACAACCGGAAGTTATAGTTCGTTAATATTTAATTCAAACCAAGTAATGATCTTTAGTTAAATGATTATAACTGGTTCATTTCCAGGTATTATTAACTGCTTACCTTTAGGACATTTTGGACCTGCTGTTAAAATCCAAGATGTCTTCACCATCAATGAATTGTTTTAAAAATGAGAGAGTTATAATCAATAAGGAAAAGATTCCCTGACAGCTTGGGAACATACAGTACATCATACATTGTAACATCACTAACTTTGAAAGTCATTCTCATTTTATTGAGTCCTTGTGCATCGACTACTCTTCCGTTACCAAGTCTCACTGATGGTGGCTTTGTGAATTCCTGGTAATCCTGGTAGTATTTCTATAGAGCATTTCATGTGTCTTGATGCTCCTGAATCGATCAGCCATTCGACTTGTTTCAATTTTTCACCCTGATTATTCTCTCTGGCATCAATTGCACTTTCAGTTGCACTCTCAGAATTTTAATTCTCCTCACATGTTGCTTGTTTTACCTTTTGGGTTTGAATTTTATTTCCTATCTTTGGACAATTTCGTTTCAGTTGTCCCTCCTTCCCACAGTTAAAACATTTCCACTTGGATCTGTCAGCTGTGGATCCCCACTCACTAGAGTTTTCATTGCAGATGCGCCACCTGGTGTTGCACCACTGGTACTGTCATTTGCCTGCACACGTTTTTGTTCCTCATTTACTAATGATTGCTGCACGAATTGAAGAGTCAAACTGTCCATCTTTGTCTCCAGAGCAGTGACAGTTGCTGCATAGCTGGGTGAAGACTACCAAGCAATGTCAGAATCTGATCCTCCTCCTCAGTTACTGCACCAATAGCACAGAGTTGATCAGTTAATTCCTTCATGCGCTTCAATGCTCGGTTATCGTTTCTCCTTCCTTCATTTCACACCTGAAGTACTTCTTCTTTAGAAACTATTTATTTTCTAGAGTGTCTCTCTAATAAGGACCCTTCAGCGTATCCCACGCTTCTTTAGGTGACCGGCAGCTTGTTATCAGGTACAGTTGAGATGTACTTACATTAAACTCCAACAGTGAAAATGCTTTTTCTTTCCTTCTAGCGAATTCGGCTCGAGTAGCTGCATTAGCATCTGGCAGCAATGTTTCCGTCTCCATTACCATGGCCCATAGACTTCTAGCTTTCAGCAGATGCTCCATCTGGAATTTCCACGTAGCCCAGTTGTCTGGTCCACTTAGCTTGTCGATGAACAGTCTGTCCTCCATTGTGAATCCCACAACACCGAGTGCTCCACACAGAATCCATGTAAAACCACTGTTTTAAGCTCTTTTATTGGAACTGACTGGGAGCGACTGGGACCGACTGGGACCAACTGGGCCCATAACCTGATGAAGTTTTGCAAGCATTTATTTAACTAAAAACCACTGAACATACATAGCACCACAAGGTGGCAGTATTTCACACCCTGACCTGCATTGTCAAATTACTGTTTTACAGCAAAATGATGGTCAGTTCATTGGTTTAGCTGCTGGGATGCTCTGAGGGAGTCAGATTAGAATCAGATTAGCAGCATAGATGATCTACAGCAGACAGATGTGTGACAAAGGTCTTTGGTAACAGATTCCAGGTTCACTTAATCCAATAATTCAATTGAGAAAGCTTCCTGGAGAAGAAGAGAAACGTCTTCAAATGTTTCAAACCAAGTCCAGTGGATTTTTTTTTTTACTTTTATGGAATGACAATGACCTGGATGACTGAAAATCTTCATCAGCAATAATTCAAAGTTACCGATCTATATAATATATTTGATGATTTGATGGACCACGGTCCTGGAGATTGGACCACGGTCCTGGAGTTCAGACCACGGTCCTGGTGATTGGACCACTGTCCTGGTGATTGGACCACCGTCCTGGAGATTGGACCACGGTCCTGGTGATTGGACCACGGTCCTGGAGATTGGACCACGGTCCTGGTGAATGGACCACGGTCCTGGAGATTGGACCACGGTCCTGGAGATTGGACCACGGTCATGGAGATTGGACCACGGTCCCGCAGATTGGACCAGGGTCCCGCAGATTGGACCAAGGTCCTGGAGATTGGACCACGGTCTTGGAGATTGGACCACGGTCTTGGAGATTGGACCAGGGTCCTGGAGATTGGACCAGGGTCCTGGAGATTGGACCAGGGTCCCGCAGATTGGACCAGGGTCCCGCAGATTGGACCAGGGTCCCGCAGATTGGACCAGGGTCCCGCAGATTGGACCATGTGTGACTGTGATATCCAGTTGGAATATTGTCTCTCTGTGGTCACCGATGGAAGGTTTATTTGTTTAACCCGCTTTAATACATACAGCTGTATGACATCAGCAGGTCAGACTTAACCTAATCCCTAACCGATCCATAGCAATAAACATGGATCAAAGTTCCTTACCTCAAACTAACCCGTCTGAAACTGAGCCGCTTGTTTTCACGATACACAATCATATCTGCATTAAAGCGGAATCCATGTCTCTCTCACCATCAGAGGAAACTTTGATTTCCTGACTTATTAAACAGGAAACCTTTGAAGTTTATGAAGCTTCTGTCACTAAATTTTTCAACATAATGAAAATGAAGCCATACCAAAGCAAACAGGAGCGGCATCATGTTCAGCTCACTGATGTAGGTCTATGTCTCAGTCACTCCACTTGCTCTGCTTAAACCACATCCATGACAGTCCAGACTTCTTCTATGTGTAGCTCAATGGAATGAGCTGCTGAACCAGAACCAGACCATCTCTCTCATAGCTGCATCACGCTGAACCACACTTTCCAAAGAAAAGTTCAAAACAGTCCCCTGTTTCCAAGTTTGCAGACGTTTCGTTTTCCATCATGGAGGCTAAAATATTAGGAAGCTATTTAGCAACGTTGTATGTTTATGATTGGTGTTCCTTCCCTGTGAATTTTTGGGATCCATATTAGCATGAAATGTCCTGCCTGGATATAATCTAAAATAAATGGAACAGTTGATGTCCTTTTCTTTTTTGACTTGTTTGAGGTAGTCCGTGACTTTCTTCTTGTAGGCGCTATCAACGCGGCACCCACCCCGGGCAGGGGAGCAGAGCCCCCCCTTTTCATCCAAGCAAGTAATTCCCCCTGAACCCCCCTTTCAGAGACATAGACAGATATGGGGTAATGCAGGCAAACAAAAAACCAAAACGAATCCCCATTCCTAAGGGGCGGAGCCGTTCGTCTGTTTCAGTTTACATGTTCTGTAGCCATAACAAGGCTTTGTTTTTGATCCACTCTATAAAGCCTTGAACGCTATTTCTGACATTTTGAATTGATGAAAAACAAAGTTTTTTGTTTTTGAACTTTTCTGGAATGACTATGACCCTGATGACTGAGTGACTGTGTTGAACCACACCTGTTCATTTCTAGATGCTGCAATCTGTCGGTTCTTCATTAAAAAAACTAAAATAATTATGTGCAAAAAATAATTCATATTCTTTGGGTCAAACTCCCATCTGTGAATGATAATAAAAAGATCAAGCAGTGGTCCTGACCAAACTCTGATATTAATATTTGTGTTTTTTCCAGCTCTGAATGTCAGAGACGTCCGATCTGCCGACATTCTGAGATATTATGGAGCAGCAGGAGAAAAGCTCACCTATCACTGCTCTTTCACCATACCTGGAGCAGTGAAGATCTTCTGCAGGGAAACCTGTGAAGGATCAAACCTCCTAGTTAAAACAAGTTCTGACTCAGCTCAGGAAGGACGATACAGAACCCAGTATCTTAAAGAAGCTTCAAAAACATACTCAGTGCTGTCCGTTAGCATTACGGAGCTGACCTGGTCCGACTCAGGGCGCTACAGGTGTGGTCTGGATGACTCTTCGTCATCAGTTTCATACCTGGACTTCAGACTGGTCATCGTAGACGGTGAGCCTCTTCTTCTCTTAGGAACTAAAGGAACGTTTCAGGAGATTTCTGGAAAGTCCAGGTTTTAGTTCCCCTGTTAAAAATCCTGGCAGGTTAGTTCATCGTCAGGAAGACTTTAGAGCCTTTGGTTTTTAGACTCCATGTTTCACTTAGAGGAGCAGATCTAAAAAGTAAGAAATGATGAAAAGTGAGGAAGAATTTTCTGCTGTTTTAGTCTCTGTCCAGTTCAGCTGGGCTGCCTCCAGTTGAAACTGGTATTAATCCAGAGCGCCAAACGGCTGCTGGACTTCCAGGCTTCGTCCAACCGTCCGCCCTAAACCCCTCCGTCACTATAGAGAGCGGGGACCATAGTGAACTTTATAGTGAACTCAGTTAACTGACCGTTCAGACAGATGATCACTACTTTTTACTCCCCATTAGTCACGTTACCTCGCCAACACGCCGTGGCGTGCAGCCGCCATTTTGTTCAGTCTCTCTAACATAACAAATCCCCTGATGCTCTTGCAAAGCATTGTGGGATATATTTGCTTATCTAGTGACCATGGATGATCACTTCTTTTCAAGGTGGATTGTGGGAATCTTGGAGTCCACTACTTTTTCATCCACTAGA